AAAAAAAAAAAAAAATATATATATATATATATATATATATAGTGAATTCTACCCTACCCTACTAAAATGTTTGAGCTTTTGCATCAAGTAAGCGCAATAAAACTTTATTATTTAGTTATTAAGGGACACCTAGATAAAAACGGCACATTTTAATGAAAAGTGGTAACACTTTACAAGAGGGTCACATTAGTTAACATTAGTTAAAGAATTAACTATATTTGTTACATGTATCAATACATTTGTTACAGTATTTATTAATCTTTGTTAACTTTAGTTAATAAAAAACAATAGTAAATTCCACAGACGAGGAGCAGTGTAGCTAAAAGCTCGAGATCCCATAGAAACCAAACACGTACAAGGAAGAACTAAAGAGAATGTAGACGATGATCGTGAAGGAGTATATGTTAAAAGTAGGTCAGATAAGTAAGAAGGAGCCAGGTTATGTAATGCCTTATAAACAAGAAGCACAATTTTGAATCCAATACGCTGTTTAACAGGAAGCCAGTGCAGTTGTTGGAGAACAGGAGATATGTGTTCCATGGTAGGATTTCTAGTAAACAACAACAATAATAATAAAACAACGACAACAATAATAAAACAAAATAAGCAATAAGCAATTTATATATTTCCAAAAAACAGTCAATATCCATTTGCAAACTTCATATTTGCATATGAATATTTCTTCATATTTCATATTTGTTCAAACACTTCATACAGCATCGAAGGAGCAGGATATTTTTTCCCAGGCTAATACTTTGAGTCCAGTCACTCATACATGATCAGTCACCTCAACACCCAATGCTCATGGAGTCACCAACATTAACAAACTCTTCTGTAGGCATCTGTAGACGACTGTAGGCCAGTCCCGTAATGTCCCTTATTTGCAGCAGTCCACCTTCAAATAGTCTCACAACCGTGGCAAGTTGCCAAGGTGATGGAAGTACCTCCACTCTGGTGGCAACAAGTTAGAATCCGCTTTGCTTTTCCTCTCACTTTGATGCATGGAATCCTGTAATGTTCTGCCTATGTGTGTGATATGTATTAGGTTATCATGAGTCTTTGTCATGAAAAATTCTACTTGCCTTCTGCAGGTGGGTTGGCCAAACACCCTGCAGCTTAGCAGGTGCAAAGAGTTTGCAAATAGCGCTATCTGTCATGTTCTGAAAAGAGGTCCTCAAAATGTAGCACTGCCGTCGTGCGGAAATTGTATGTGTGTTTCCAAAACAGAAATAATGAAAGAGGTACAAAGATTAATTATGAACGAAAATCATTTCATTGTTAGCCTGCATATTTAGCAGGTCAGTAGGCTAATTTACGTCATGGAGCTTTAAAATAGCATAGCAGAGACCGGAGCAAGTTGTCACACTGGGGATTTGACAGCAGTTGTCAGTAACTCGCATGAGCTCAGAAGTAGAATTATGAAAATATTGCCTAGAGATGGTTTTGTATGTTGATTATAAATACCTAGTTCAAGCCCCTCTTAAAAAAAAAAAAAAAAAAAAGAATTGCCCAGCAATTCTCTCTGCTGTTCTAGGTTGGTTTAGCAGTAGTAAATGGCCAGTTGATGGCAGTTGGAGGATTTGACGGTACCACATACCTAAAAACTATAGAAGTCTATGATCCTGATGCCAACACATGGAGGTATGTTATGGAAGAAAAATAATGCCATATGTCTTTGAAACAAAAAAGCACGTTGAATAGCACTAACTGAAAAAATAATGCATTGCATTATCAGTGCTTGAATTTTAATG